GTTCAACCGGTTCAACCGTTTCAACCGGATACGCGAATGTAGCCAAAGAAAGTCAGAACTTTCATTATTGTGTTTCAATTTGTTTTGTACATGATCTTGATGTGAGATTATATCTGTGTTTACAGGAATCGCTGGATGAGGTGACGGTAAAGGACATGCTAGAGGGAGACAATATGTATACCTGCTCAAAGTGCCAGAAGAAAGTGCGTGCTGAGAAACGGTAGGTAGTACTTTCGTCTAATCCAGTAATGTCAGGCCATATTAACAGTAACAAGATTTTCATGTGAATGAGGTATCTGTATATAAAAGAGTAACAACTTGAATTAAATTAAATTTAAACAAATTTTCAAAAGTTGATAACAAATTTTGAACAGAAGAGCCATCAGATGAAATAGTTAGATAGAAATGCAATAAGAAAGTTGTTTTTTGACTTAATTGAATTCTCCAATATATTTTCCTATCAGGGCATGTTTCAAGAGGTTACCGAGGATCCTGTGCTTCAACACCATGCGGTATACGTTTAATATGGTGACCATGATGAAGGAGAAAGTGAACACCCACTTCTCATTCCCCTTGTGTTTGGACATGTCTCAGTACATGGAGAAAACTCTCATGGGACCAGACAAACTCAAAGGTATGTCTAATAAGATTCCTTCAACAAAGAGTACCATAATGGTCTACTTTTGGGTAGTGTTTGATTTGAAAACATATTGAAGTTGGTCACTTTTCTAGGAAGTATGACTCGCACCTGAGTGTCATGATTTGTGCTTGTGATACTGTCATGCACTACCTGGAAACTAGAAAGTAGTGAGTTTTACTTCTATGGTGTTTAGGAAGTTGTTCTATCAAGACCTATATGTGTTCTGAAGCATTCTTCTCTGTATTCATGGGAAATAACTGGTAGCAAATGGATTTTAAAGAGCATAAAAATGGACAACTTTGAAAATATCGTCTGAAATATCTTTTGAAGTGTTTTACGTATCATTAATACTTCATTGCCATTCTTCCAACAGTGGATGATGATGAGGATGAGCGACTACAGATGCTGGAGATGGAGGATGATGAAGATGAAGGCTATGATTACGAGCTGACAGGTGTGACTGTTCACACAGGGACAGCTGATGGGGGCCATTATTACAGCTTCATACGTGACCGAATGCACACAACTGACAACGGCCAGGATAAATGGTGAGTGAATGTAACAGTAGAATCTTGTGGATCAACAAATTCAACAGATGTAAATCCTAATTGTTAATATTTTAGTGTTCACGTTGAGGTTTGAAGCATTTGCATCATAACAAATATTGGAAAAACTTTTATGTGTCTGATGTTTAATTTAATTTTTTAGAAAAAACTTGATCTTGAAATGGTTGAACTTTGATTTATGTTTTTTGTGCAGAAAGGTTGTCACTATTTAAAATGTAGAAACTGTTTTCTCATGTAGGTACCTGTTCAATGATGCAGAGGTGAAGCCATTTGATCCAAGTCAGATTGCTACAGAGTGCTTTGGGGGAGAGATGACGGTAGGCTTGGAATGCAATACATTTTATTTAAAACTTGACAATTTAAATATCAAGGAGTGATCGGTCAATTTAAATATCAAGGAGTGGTCTTAAAGAAGTCCAAAATAATTGTGGCTTAAATGTAACACAGTATTTGTAAAAGTGTTCAAGTAAATTAATTTTGTAATTCAAATTTGATTCTTTCATACATTTGTTCTGTGTTGAAATTTTTAATGATTGAAATTGTCTTAGCTTTTTTCCCAATTTTCAATATTTGCTTTTCTCTCTGCAGAGTAAAACTTATGATTCAGTGACCGACAAGTTCATGGATTTTTCATTTGAAAAGGTAAATAATAATAATGGCTTTATTGAGTAATACATCTGCTCCTGTTCAGTCCCTTAGCATGGAATGGATCTGTGGAAATCATAGACCAGACAAAGACTTGGAGTTAATCTAATAGTGATTGAAGTAACATGTTTGCAGCAAATTTGTTAAAGAGAAGATAAAAAATGCTTTCCATGTTAAAGGATTTACTTTTAAGCCCAAAGGAATTCCAGTGTAAATACACTTGATACTCTGACCCCAGATTGTACAATATAAATTCCAATAGAAAGAAATATCAAATACGAAAATAATTCAAAGACACCACAGGGGTTTTATGAATTTAAAATTTGATTGATTTCTTCCAGACAAATAGTGCTTACATGCTGTTCTATGAGAGATGTCCAGCAAAGAAAGACACTGAGGAGCCGAATAAGTTGTTAGAGGTTGAACCCGTCCAAAAGTTCAATTTTGAACTGTCAAAAGAATTGGCTGAGGTAGGTGTTCTGTGCAAAATTGTTGTTTTACTAAGTACAAACTATGAATCAGTGTGTATTAATGCAGCATTGAACAGATTTTTGTCTCCACATAGAATTATCTGTCTCTTGTTAACAAAGTTTATGATGTTGTTGTCAACCTGTGTTGTTTTCTTTCTTTGAAGTGGATTTGGCAGGACAACATGCATTTTCTCCAAGACAAGAACATATTTGAACACACCTACTTTGGGTAAGTTAAGTTGTCAACTAGCATTTAGAGGACCTAAATCATGTAACAGTTTTCACTACAAATATATACAGATCTTTTATAAGTAAATGAAAAATAAAATCCGTCCAAATGGACACTGCATGATAGTTTATTAAGGAAAATTTTACTG